AAAAAAAAAAAAAAAAAAAAAAAAAAAAAAAAAAAAAAAAAAAAAAAAAAAAAAAAAATTTCATTGTAACAGTCACATTTTTCTTTAGCTCATTTGACTCAGGGACTGATGCAATTTAATCTACACTTAATACGCACTAAAGCAAGATGTACTGGGAATCTATTTCTTACTTTTTTTTTTATACAGGGGTAATTAAAACACACAGCAAGACAAGAATTCAATAATACAGTGGTTTCTTTTTTAATTCAGAAGCTGCTTACATTACGGCCAGAAGCTACTTGGATTTTATCTTGAGCCATATCTCTCAACAACATAAAGGAAATTTCTTTCCCACTTCCCAAATGAGCATTGTTCAGGGAGGTTGTTTGAGATCAACAATATGAAACTAGATAAAAACAACAACAACAAATACATCCTTCAAAAGAACACAGTCTGAAGTTACTGAAACAAACACAATGTAGTACAAAAAACTATAAAAAACACAAGGTATGAAAAAAAACCTAGGAGACAAGGACAAAGTACCGAAAGTTGGCACATAAAAATGCTGACTCTAAGCAAGGATGAAACACGGTGTAAATTCTTGCTCTTCTACCCCAAGGTGACTTTCTTAGCTATCTCAGAAATGTCCTTTTCATTTGATAATGCCTGAAAACTGTCTTACAAATAAAATGAGGCTCTCTTAGGTGCCAGAAGAGGGAGGCAGGTGAAGAAGGGGTATAACATCTTAGTGGTATCTCCATACAGAACTCCAGGTGGGAATGGCTTGCTTGGGACACAGGTCATCCCTGTGTAACCCAAATGCTAGTTGCAGGGCCCTTCACATACCTGCTTCCAGGAGGGCTGGAGTGATTCTCAGGAGCTTGGGGGTCTGACTGTATTGACCATGTCGGGCCACTAGGACTGATGATGGGTCGGAGGGTGGGGGGAGTTGAAGCACTGCCTCTGTTTATGATGCCAGTTGCCAAATTCAGGTTTGTTACCTAGAAATAAAGTGAGGGAAATAACCTGGCTTGAGTTTTTAGAAAGCATCGTTAAAAACATATCAAAGAAAATTCAAGTCAAGGCCAACAAATGCTGACCCTTCTGAACTAAAGCAGTGGCTGTGACAAAGGCACCCAGGAAGGAATGGCTCCTGTGCACAAAGAGCAGAAGTGACGGTGGTCAGTGTCAATGTAAGTTAACAAGCATTTACTTTGCTCCTACTAAGTGCAGGGCACTGGACTGTGCCAGGTGCTATGAAAAAGACGAACAACAAAAACAGCAAGAAGCTAGACAAGTAGACAAGGTTCAAAAAAACTTGGTAAACTAGTCTTTCTGTCATTGTTTCCTCATCTGAATGTTCTAAATGCTCAGTAAATTTTTGTTATAAATAACATTAATTATTATAATATACAAAGAACCCACTGATTTAGAAAGAAAAAAGGCGGTTAAGAGAAAAATAGGCATGGACATCAATAAATAATGTACAAAGGAGAAATACAATTAGCCAATTAAACATGTAAAACTAGTCATCATTTCTACTGGTAAATGTAAATTACAAGGGAGACATGCAAATTACACGCAAATGCAAGTTACAAGACACCATTTTTACATATCACTTTGGTATACAATAATAAAAAAGATAGTATCCAACAATGGCAAAGGGTGAAATTAGGTGCTTGTACTACTTGTGTGACTATAAATTGGGAGAATCTTCCTAGAAATCAATTGGCAATATCTTATTAAAATATATTACAATATTTGTACACTTTGATACTACAGTCTAGCTGCTGGGAACTATACAACAAAACAATTGCAGATGGTTAAGGACAGGTGACTTTCATAACAGCAGTCATTATTTATTAGAACTTAATATGTGCCAAACTATGAGTAAATGAGTACATCGCCCACCTTTAAATTGCACAAGTCTCTTGATAAGTGCCATAATAATACTTATTTTACAAGAAGGAAACTGAGGCCTATCACTGCACTGAGACCTACGAATAAATGGCAGAATGAGAATTCAAACCACAGCTTCTCAACTGCCAAAGCCCGTGTTCTTATTCACTGCACTATACTGTGAATACTGGAAATCAAGCATTGTTTTTAAATACTGAAAAAGGAGATCTAAATGGCTAACAATATTGTTAAATAAATGTTGCCCTAAATAAGACATTATTATGTATACATTAACATTTTTTGAAAAATAATGATATAGGAACATTCTAATATCTCAAGTAAAAAAAAAAACTGTGGTAGTAAAAATCACAACATGAAACTGTATGAAGAGTAAATCCAAATTTCCTTAAACACATACATATACAAACACAAGTGGACAGACATTGCTGAAGACTAGAAATAAAAATCTAGACTATAAGCAGCATTTATTTCTGAATTATGACTTATTTTCCTCCTTATCTATATTCTCCAAATTTCCTAGACTGGGCATGTATTACCTTTTATAATAAAAAAAAAATTTTAAGTTGTTATGGCAAATACAGACAAATTTAAAACCTGGGCAGTGGTAGTGAAATCAGAAAAGAAAGAATGGTCGTGAGAAGTCTTTCAAAGTAAGAGACACAGAGACTGTTGAAAAGAGAGAAGACACAAAGCTGAATGCAGGATTTTGAGCATGAGATACTAGAGAGTAATGGTGAAAGTGATCAGACCGGAGATGTAAATTCCAAGGAAAATGTTTTGCTACAAAATGTTCTAAGGACCTAATAATTTTGAAATTACAAATGAGAGAATTATGGATTTTTTTTCCTAAAAATTCTGAAAGAAAAAAGGTCATTTTTAGCAAAAGTATAGCGTTACATTCCTAGTTATAGAATTCAATAAGTGAAAACAGCTCAGGACTGTGTCTTTACACCAAAGGACTAAAAATACTTTTCTTGGAAAAAAAGTTGTTTTCCATAGGTCAGGAGCAATTCTTGGTGTCTGCGGAGGCTGCACCATCCAGTGTGGACCAGTCTTTGGAAGAAACCCTCCCCAGCCATACATGACTTACCATTTCTGTCTCCTACAGCTTCTGCCAGGGGGAGAAGGACATATGCTGACTAAAAGACAGGGAAGATATAGTGGCAAATCACGGTAGTAACTTCTCTGGCCACTAGTTTCTCTGAAATGACTTTTCTTCCTACATCCTAGGAGCAATGTGGGCCAGGCCCTCAGACAATGAACCAGACTCGCTGTAGGCCTGAATTCACTCCTGCTCCACACTGACTCCTCCTCTTTCCTGCCCTGATCATCAGGCCTTTTGTATTAGGCATGATCTTGAAACTTGTAGAAAAACTACAGCGAGAAAGGTCTTTATGATAACAGCTTCTCCAATTACTGCTTTAGTTGAGCCAAAAACTTAATAAAGGAGGCTTAATAATTTATAGGGAAATACCAATAAATGCACAAAGTGCACATTTTACCATGTATAGTATAAATGGTATAGTTTGGAGATTAGTGAATGGAAAGGAGAAGAGAGAAAACAAATCTATCTTTTGGCAAGGCTGCTCCTAATTTAGACATCATCACGTGCATCTTAACAGTTAACACCTATGGAACGCTCACCACGTGCAATGCCCTTGCATTATTATTATTATTTTTTGAGACAGTCTCACTCTGTCACCCAGATTGGATTGCAGTGGTGTAATCAGCCTCCCAAATAGCTGGAATTACAGGCGCCTGCCACCACAGCTGGCTAATTTTTGTATTTTTAGTAGAGACAGCATTTCACCATGTTGACCAGACTGGTAACCCCTGATCTCAAGTGATCGACCTGCCTTGGCCTCCCAAAGTACTAGGTGTTTGCATCATCTTGATGTGCATTATCTGATTTAACCCTGAACGCTCCCTTTGTAATAGCTTCTACTGTTACCCATTTTACAAAAGGGAAAGCCAAAGTCAAAAGAGGGTAAATGACCAAACAACAGTCACACACCGATAAGTGACAGGGCCAAGAAAGAACAGAGAGTGTTTGCCTTCCAGTGCGTGTGGTCTACTTTTCCCAAATAATATGGTTTAACATTTGAGTCCTTATAGTGGTGGTGTCAGGCACTCTGGGTTTTATATTTCACTTAGTCCTTACCCATTATTCACAGAGGTAGATTCTGTTCCACACCATTTCACAGGTAGAAACGCTAAGGCTCAGAGAGGTCATGATAAGTAATTTGCTCAAAGTCACATAAAAGTTGCCGAACTGGTAGTCTAGTTTTAAAATCTATTTTCTAGTTTGGAAACTAGCAGGAAAACAATCCTAGTTACCCTTAATTATTAGAGATTTTAAAAATGTCATCAGATACAGACCTCAAATTCTGAAAACAGTGATTACACAGAGAGTGACAAAACTATACCAGGTTTTCCTTGTTTCTTTTTGATTTTAATTCCCACTTGTTATCATTCATCAGAAGATATTAAAGAAGCAAAACAAAGAAAAACCATCCTCAGCCAGTTTTGTGTCTTGGCAGGTAAAAAGTGACTTGATCATGAAATTACTTTTGGATTATTGGAGGGTTATGTTTATTCACGTAACAACCATTCCTTATGTGAGGGATAAACCAACAAGTGGCAGCCATTGTGATTTCATTTTATGCAAAAGCAAAGTATCATTGTTAATCTCAGAAACAACAAAAGTGACTGCTACTTAAACAGGAAACCAAGGAATGAGAAAACTTCAAAAGCTTCTCACCTCTCTCTCTCAAGGATTTCTGCTAAAAGAAAACAAACAAACAAAAACCTGTTCCTACCAAATGATAATAATCAGCCCCTCTAGATTAAATATTCTACTCTTGCCCTTGTAGGTTTCTGTTTGGAAGACACTCAGCACATATGCCACAGCTAACACCCCCATACCTGATCCAGCTCTCTCTTCCTAGGACACATATTGCTAACCCATAATTAAGCAACTTGGGTTGACATGGATATAATCACAGAATCTTCTTTACACATTTCTCCAAGTAGCCATCACTGATCATTCAGAACAAATACATCATTTTCTATCTCTCTTCTAGAATAATCTTTAATAATGGAAATGTTCTGTAATGTGCACTGTCCAATACAGTAACCACTCACCACATGTAACTACTATGCATGTGAAATATGTGTGTGACTGAGGAACTGGATTTTAAGCTTTATATAACTTAACATTTAAAAGCCAGATATAGCTAGTGCCTACCTTATTGTACAGCACAGCTCTAGACTCTCAATCATATCTGGGCAAATGTTATATATACAGATTTATACCTGGCTAAAGTCTGCACCAAGCAAATTATCTCTAGATTAAACGAAGTAAGAAAACCTCTGGTCTTTTTTCTCAGCTTCCCACTTTTTCCCAGAATGGGCAGAAGGAGTCACTGAACAAAAACGAATCTAAGCGTCAATTCTGGCTCTAGAACTATCTTGTCCTGCCGAGGGAACACCTAAGGGCAGGGAAAATTTCCCAGTATCCGATTAAGACCTTAATAAACTCTACAAGCCAATTAGGGTTTATACCTGGAGGTTTCTTCCCTAACAGGACAAAAGGATGATGGTCATAGATGTCACCAGGCCACATCTACTTCTCTATCCATCTACATTTCTCCAAATAACATAACAAAACCAGCTTTGATCAGATGAGGAAAAAGTGATAAAGAGCACTTTTAGGTACCCGATAAACAATGATGATCAACATTTCATTACTAAATAATTTTTTTAAAGAACAGGTTTACAGTACATGAAGAGACAGCATCACTCAAGAAATCAATCACTGGCTTACCATTTTTGTTAGTAGTACCGGTTGACTATCTCTTAGCAGAAATACTTAAAACCAGAAGTGTTTTGCATTTCAACTTTTTTGTATTTTGGAATATTGGCATTATACCAATTGAGCACCCCAAATCTGAAAACCTGAAATATGTAGGTGGCTCAAAACATTTCCAATTTTGGAGCATTTTGCATTTTGGATTTTTAAACCAGGGACACTCTATCCATAATAGGATATTAAAGTGGCAGTCATAGCCTTTGGGCCAGT